TAAAGAGTCAAACGTGATTATAAAACATTAAGTAGTATAAAATAAGTTGCCTGAGTCAGAATGTAGTACGGGATATTGTCTACGTGTAAACATGAAATAAAATTGAATGAATGAAATTTGCAGATTTCTGATTCGGTTAAATAAAATTCCCTGGTTTCTTTTAGCGTACTTCTTGTTCTAAACAAATAAAAACGTGCGTTCGTACGAGTTTCCCACTATCGTACCATCCACCTTCTTCAGGCTATCTCAGAAGCCATTCGACAGATCTGATTGCAAACAGCTCCTGATAGTGTGAACTGATTCACAAATACCGACGATATTACTATTCATCAGGTTTCCATTCGATTGGGCATCTGGCCAAGGAAACCTAATGTGATAGCAGCGCAAAATGGATATTTTAAATAAGATAGTAAACTTTTTAAATACTAATAACGTACTAATGAACAAAAAACAATATATTATACTATTGCTATTTGAAGGATCTAACTATATTAAAAAAAAAAATATTGTAACGTACCCAGTTTATCATTTATTTTTGAAGGAAACCTGTTCTATTGCGACATCGTTATTTATTAGTAAACAATAATTAATTATTAACATCATTATTATATTGACCGTGGTCATGAATATTTAGATATTAAAAATTAGATTTATACACAGGCAGTGGCGGTTTGCCCGTAAGAGCACTTGGGCACGTGCCCTAGTATAATAAATAAAAAAAATAACTTACATATTTTATATTTTCCTCAATGCCTATTATTATTTTATATAATATTCAGCCAAAACCGCGTTGGCACGACACTGGACGACCGGGCGTTGAGCGACGTTCCGAGAAATCCGAAATTAAGTGGAAGATGGGCACAGGGCACAGTAAATGTGTGCCACTGTTATTTTCTCTCTCATTATGATGCGAAAAACAAGGACAACGACAATATCGCTTAGCAAGAGATGAACACATGCGATGGCTTATACGTCACAAGTGGGGTGCTGTCATCGTGACGTACTGTACCCATGGCACAGATTACCTACAGTCTGTTCGCTATACTTACGCGGGTTTCGGATTAACAAAATTATGCAAATTAGTCATTGACAACCAGTTCCAATAAGCCTCCCCCAAGAAATTAGGTAAAATTGCCCTAATGGTTAGATTCGCCCCGGAGCGCCACGGCAAATAATAATAATAGCCGTCCCTTCCCCTACACAAGTCGTTCAGTCGACTTCAGGGGTTGAAATTCACTCGTAAGGGGGTGAATTAGGGAGAGTATTATTATTATATTATTATTATTTAAATTAAAATAACATTAGGGTAGGTACTAAATTTGTTATAAATATTGCAGTTGAATTGATTCTTTGCAAGTGTTGACATTGTATGTATATTGTAAATTTAGTGGAAATTTTAAAAATGCCTAGACGTGTGTTAGATGTAGATTGTCTAATTTGTAGTGTACATAAGTATTTTACGGATGAAAAAGAAAATGACAGTCCTTTAAAATCGGTAATGTCTGTACAACAACGCGTATGCGATGCTCTAGGAATTAGTGAAACCAAATTAAGAGGAGTATTACAAAATCACAATAGTGAACTGCCGAAAGAAGATCACCGCAAAACTCGCCCATCATTGAAAACGAAAGATATTCCAGATGGAAAGAAATTTGAAATTCGTGATACCATTTATTGAATGAGGGCCAACAAGGAACATGTGATCTTAAATACAATTCTCTCGAAATTAATAGATAGAAAATTTGACGACATTGGCAGAACAAGTCTATGGCAAGTGATACATAACTTTCTAAGAAAATATTCTAAATTTAAAGAAGAAAGGGCGAATTTTATATATTTAGACGAAACATGGAGATTTTCTAGGGGTGCAACCAAGAGAATATGGCAAGATGATAACGTAAAGTCCATCAAACATACCGATGGAGAAGGGAAGCGACACATAATTTTACATACATGAAGGAAATCGGGTTTTATAGAAGGTGCTGATTTAATATTTTCATCTCAATCAAAATCCAGTGACTATCACGATAATATGAACACAGAAATGTTTGTAAAATGGTTGCATGAAAAACTTCTCCCAGGTTTAAGTGAGCCCAGCGTAATTATTTTAGACAATGCACCTTACCATTCTGAAGTATTAAAAGTCCAACGAATTCTTGGATTGTTGATAAAATTAAAGAATGGTTGACAAAGGAACATATACCATTTCCTCAATTAAAATCATAATTATTACGCTTGGCAAATATACACGCAAAACCAAAAACCTTAGTTGTGAATCAGATTATTGAAAGTTACGGTCATCAAGTTTTACGTCTGCCACCGTATCGTTGCCAGTTTAATCCCATCGAATATATATGGGGAATAGCAAAACAATATTATGACAACCATATTGGGCCTAATGGTTATAGTGACGACGCAGTTCGGGAAACTTGGCGAAAAGCACTTTCAATTGCAACTCCAGAAGTGTGGCGGAACTGTATATTGCCGCGTTTAGGGTTTTTATGTTTCCCTAAACGAGCTGAGGGGTTAATTATAGCTAGATGGTAGAAGTACTTTAATAAAACATAATAATAATAATAATAATAATTGAAAATATTTATTTAATAAGTAAATGATTGGTTAAAAAATGAAAAAGACAATCTCCATTGAATAATGATAAAAATAACAAATTAATTAGGTACTCACCAGGGGTACACCATTTTAAGAGGGATGGTGCTTGTGTCGCTCTTCAAAACCAAATGATTAATAATATTTAACATTTTATAAAGAAAGTTCGGGTTCATGCACTTTTGCTTGATCAGGTAATTCGTTGAACTGCGTTTACTGCTGTTCTTGCAACTTCAACGAATTTCCATAAAAGTATCAATTAATTAAGAAACTTGAATTTACACTTCCTCTTTAGAAATAATATCTTTAAATAAACTAAACAATGAATGTTAAAAATGAAAATAATAATTTAATATGAGATTAATATTTTTTAATAAATGAATAATTATTTAACTATTTTACCTATAGTACATGAACCCTAAATATATTATTTGACAATATCCAAGTGCGAGAAACTAATAGAAGATTGGTGGACTCGTGAAAATAAAATAAACGAAATAAGTCCAGTCATAATAACAATTAATGGTGATGACAGTGATGATGATGATGACGATTATGATATTTTGGATCATAATGACTGATTTTCATTTTTGTTGGAAAGTTCAATTTTTTTATTTTTCATTTGAAATTCTCTACATGGAACAAATTTTTATGTTAGAAAATATTTTATTTGAGCTAAATAACCCTCTTATTATACATAGACCATATTTTTTCTGTGAAGTGTAATTCTGCTCTCAATTATACAAAAGATTCTCCATTATTATTTAATTAAAAAGTTGTACATTATTTTTCATTTCATTTAACCAGTTGATATTTCCCCAAAGAACAGGTCAAACTTTCGGGTACTTACCTGGAAATACTCATAAAAATTTTAATCTGAAACCCGCGTAAGTATAGCGAACAGACTGTAGACCAGATACGAATGTACGCAGCGGCATCTTTATCGGCTTAAAGTGCGCGTTTGTTGGACCATGATAATTATTTATTTATTGTGATTACGAAAAAACGTTTGTTGGACCATTGGAATAGTTAAGAAATAAAACTACAAAGAAAAATAACTTTTTTTATAAAGCAGTCAAAAATATGATGAAAAAAATGGGACTAAATTTTAATTTTTCTTTTGGTTTTTTCTGACTTTTTCGAGGATTTCAAATCTCTGTTTGCATATTTAAGAGTATAAAAAATTCTGAGTCTTATAAATAATTTAATGGTGTACATTTTCGTAAATTGTTGGCAATTGTTGCTCATCTCAAAAAGGTATGCGTTGGAAATTCCAGCCTTAGTTGACAAACTATCAAATAGAGATATAAATATTTTTTCTATTTTGAAAATATAATAGAGAAATTTTTCGCTGGGAGATTTTAAATTGCCAAACACCTTTCCTTCAATGTCGTATGCTTTAAAATGCGTTAATAAGTTAGAATTGTTAAGTAAATTGCATTTTTCTGAGAAATTTACGTAAATTTCGCAAGAATGGATATGTAATGATTTTTTGATTAAATAGCCACATACATAGTTAAATGCATTTTGAGTGGTCACATTTAGCTCCCTGTAGTCACATTCTGAAATCCCCAACTAATGGTACATGAGGTTCGGTTTCCGTTTTATGGTAATTATTTGAAACACGGTTTAGTTCTGTAAGTAAAATGTCATGCCATGTTATCCATCGAAAAAAAAAACTTATTCGGTGCATCGATCACTTCGTTAGCCAAAAATCCAGAAGAATGGATTTCAACTATAAGAAATAGTATACAACTGCAGCGGTACCTAGCAGTTAGTCTTCAATTTTGTAATATTTAATTTTTTTTGAAATATATTTAATTTTCATTAAGAGGAAAACTTGTTTTCCTAAGGGAAAAACAAACCCCGCGATTCCTTTCCACTGCCGCTAGTGCCCACGAGCCGCCACGGTACAGGGTATCCAAGAACTCGTCAGCCAAACGGAAACCCCAGATATAAGACACGATTTTATATTAATTTAGCATAACTTAACGAAAATGCTTCCCAAGGGTACCAGAGCTCTACGAAGGTGACGCCTTAAATCACTTACCTCAAAAATGGCATTAGCTCTACATTTTAAATTTTGGACATTGATTAAGCTACTAATGACAAGTCGTACGCTATACATTTGATTTTTCTTTTGTAATCACAAGTTGCTGAAATGGGGTCAACAGACATTTGCAATTTTTTTTATCTTCCCATTTTTTATGTCACAACTAAAAATAAAGTACTCTTGTTTGAAATCGCTATGACGCAGCGATTCTAAACTCATTTTTTTAGGATTTTATTTATGCCTCCACGGGAATAGATTGGGCGTCCCAACAGATCTACATATTATTTTTTATTTAAATTGTTACTTTTATCTTTTATCTAAACTCCTTCTTTTCTTTCAGGTAGTAAATTTGGAATTCACCAATATTCCAGAAACTGCAACAGAAATTTACATATACGGTGGACGAGAGATAATTTTCGCAACTAAGACCTTCAAAGCTGTGCCAGGATTGAATCTCATCCAAATAAAAAACATCAGACGAATCGTACTGGAGAAAAAATCCTTCTATTTCATTAACTCTTCTAGTCTACTACTTCAAATAAAAAACTGTGATGAACTTATTATTAAGACTGGTGCTTTTGAATACTTGCAGGTTAGTGCAAAATTGAAGTATTTACATAAGGTTACAGTTAAATAAAATATAGGATAAATAGGAGAATTTAAATTCTCTTGAAATAAACCGAGAGAAAGCCCTCAGAAAGTCAAGATACCGCTTGGCGTATGCTACAATGAAAAGGGAAAATAAAGTTAAATAAATAAATTAACCGTAGAAAGTTTTATAATAATTGTGAATCATGCTAATTACAAAAAGTTCAATAAACCACCATTTTACTTTTACAAGTCAATCTAATAACCCTCAATTAGTACCAATTAAAATTATTTCACCGTACAAATGATATCTCAATGTCAAATTAACGACAAGAAGTATGTGGTAACGGTTGTTACCTACCGTTTCTTTTGATTACAATTACTTGCATACGAATTATGAATCACAAGGCTTGATTTACATAATGCAAGTTATCGGTATTAATAAAAATAAACCAGCTTGGAGTATATTGGAAACCTAAATACGAGTATACAAGGTGGTCCAACGAAAACTTGACATGGGGGTTTTGGGTATTAATATCGTATATGTTAAAGATCTTATTAATCCTTATATGAGATGTGTAAGAAAAGTATTAAGAGAATTATTAAAACTTTTACAGGCAGACAATATTTTTTATTTCATTCAAAAACTGACAACTAACTCAAAAATATAATATACAGGGTATAAACAATAAATAATCGCGAATGTATTACAACAAAAAACGTTCGGACAGATCGATTCTAGTTTGAAAGGGGACATCCTTTTATCATAATATATATTATCAAGATCAGGTAATTCGAAATATACAGTAACTAGAGTATTGCATGAACAGTATTTGCATGGTTTTCACTTTCAAAAAGTTCAAGAACTCCCTGACGACAAAAGTTCAAGAACTCCCTGACGATTGACCAACCAGAATGAAGATGTACAAGGCAATATAACAAAACCTCTTATTTTAGCATTAAATCAAATGATATAAAACTTTTTTAAGTTCTCCAAGAAATTTGAAGTTTGCTCCAGTTGGAAATTAGGACCGAAAAAAACTAGTTTTTCTATTCCCCCTTTGAATGGCTTTATCTCCCTTATTTTAAAGTTTCAGACATTAGTTTATATAGCAAACTGACCTTAATTTTCATTGTTTTATCACTTTCTAAAATATTTGTATGTATAGTTATATAGATTGATTAAAAAAAATCCAAAAGGAAGGCACTCCTAGACTAATAAATAGGAGCACAGCTAGATGAAGAAGTAGAACTACTTGTGTCCAACATACAACGAGCAGCATGGGATAAAACGCCACTTATTGTGCAGCGAAGAACAGGAAATAACTATCCTTAAGAAATAAGGGATCTAATCCCTGCAAAAAGAAAACTAAAGAGGACATGGCATCAGACCAGAGCTCCATCAGATAAAACCAAACTTAACAACGCCACCCAGCATTTAAAAAGAGAGAAACGAATCTATTTGTAAGTACCTTAGTGAGTTGACAAACGATAAATCCACTGATTATTCTCTATGGAAAGACACAAAGCGATTAAAAAGGCCCATTGTGCAGAATGCTCCAATCAGAAATACAGATGGCAGCTAGGCTAGAAATAATGTACAAAAAGTTAATAGATTCGCAGAGCACTAACACAATACCTTCCAACCAAATGAAGGAGAAGAATTACCGAACTGGGCTCCTCTAGAGAGAGATGGCTCAATTATCAGATCAAAGGAAATTGCAGAAGATATAAAAACAAATATTACTCAGGAGTACCACAGGGAAGCGTCCTGGGACCCACTTTATATCTGTTATACACTTGTGACATACCCCAACTAGAACAAGACACAATAGCTACATTTGCAGATGATACTGCCATCCTAGCGATAGGCAAAGATTATGAAGAGGCTGAAAATAAACTACAAACATCAGTTAATCAAATAAATAATTGGACTAAAAGATGGTGTATTAAACTAAACGAACCCAAATCTGTTAATATTAATTTTACTAACATAAAGATGGTCAAAGAATAACAATTAACATAAATAATGCTCAGGACCCTTATGCTAACTCAGCAAAATATCTAGGTATTACATTAGATGCAAGAGTTCGCTGGAAGGTCCATGTTGAAAAGAAAAGACAAGAGTTAGATATAAAATTCAAGAAAATGTACGTTACTTGGTATGCATTCCAGCCTATCTACATACAACAAAATTCTATTATATAAACAAGTTCCTAAACCAATTTGGACCTATGGCATTCAGCTCTGGGGTTGTGCCAGCTACAGTAATACTCTAATAATCCAGACATTCCAGAACAAAGTATTGAGGAACATTGTCGATGCTCCTTGGTACATTAGAAACAGCGACCTTCATCGAGACCCTCAGATTGACCAGACTATCACCAGATTCGCTAGGAGTCACGAACGGCTCCACCAACATGTGAATGTTAAGGCGATGCAGTTCTTGACAACACGAATCTGACAAAAAGACTCAAGAGAGTGAAACCTTTTGAGTTAGCCAAGTGATTGTGTTAATAACAAAGCAAAGCATTGTTCGGTTTAGTGTAATTAAGTTATAGTAGCGAGTAGAACTTTAGTTTTACGATTGCAACCCTAATTAAGTTAGGTTATAACAAAATTACTCATTTTAAAACCAATTTACAGCCTTTGAATATAGTTAAAAAAACATTTTTACTTCAAGGCATACGCTTATGTTTATATTGAAAAAGATCAATGATCAATCTATATTTATATCTATTTATAACATTGACCTTGTCAAATCACCAGGCCTACAGGGTTGTTATATCGTAACCCATGGGCAACCATTTTATTTGTAACTCAGAGTAGTACAGAGAGGACAGTAAACAATGTTTGTGTCGCCTGGATAATATCGCATGAAAGATTCTAATTTCGAGAGAAATAGATTAATATCTCTATCTCTATTTATTTTTCCAGTTATTTTTAGACATTTTTTTAAGTTTTTACTTAAATTCGTTCAAGTATGGTGGTGTTAAAAGTGACTTTGATTTGTAGGGTTTATTTTATACTAGGAAAAGACTTGTGTTTTATGTGATTTCAAATATAAAAGAGGAAGTGAGGTTACGTTTCACTCGTTAATATTATTTCTTACCAAAGAACATGGGCGTCGTTTTAGGAGAAAAAAGGAAAATAAAATATGCATATTTAAAAAAATAAAATTATTATTAGTGTCCTAAAATACGAATTAGAAGAAACTTATGGTTAGAGGCACTTGAACAGACTGAAATGTCGAGTACTTTTAAAAATTGTATCTTTACTTTTTAAGAACTTTGTATTACACAAACAAAGCAGGAAAAAAAGAGTAGTGGTGAACCTATGTCACCTAAAAAAAATAGAAGGTATTGTGTTTAATAAATTTGGCGAACCAATAATATGTTTGAATGTTTTTAGTATAGTAATTTCTTCAGATACTAAATTATTTGATTATGGGCCTTCTTTAAGAGTATTAAACTTGCCAACAAATAGAAGAAGTTATAGTTTGAACAAAAGTACCTCATACACTTCAATATTAAATTCAAGGTATGACTCTGAAATTGTCATTAACAAAATTTGAGTTACCATTAATTAAGAAGTAAATTAAACATTGGATTTAGTTTAAGTTGATACATTGAATTGTATATGAATACTTATTTCAGAAAACCTAGATATTTTGGTAACTTTACATTGAAGTTTCTAGAAAATCGGTCATTACGAAGACTTTTTTGTTGCTTCAAACTCACGAAACAGAAATAAAAAATTACATACACAATTAAGATGAGTGAAAAAGCATGTGCAATATCAAAAAAATTATTAGTTTTTGGACGCATACTGTATATTTGTACATGGTCTAAAATATAAACTATCATCAGTAATATAAGAATATTTAGTTACCTAATTTAAATAAAGTAACTAGATAATTTATAATTTAAACGAAGTCATTAGAAAAGTAAATTCAATTCCTATATATTTTTTTAATATCCTGAAATACTTCTACTTATTCTAAATAGATAAATATATATATTGGTTTGTTTTATTCTTATTAGGAATATTTTGTCATGTTTAAATTAAATGCTTTATGTATTTCTTCAGTTCTACCATTGTATAGCTTTTCAACAGGTATAGATATTTTATAGAATTCCAAATCCTTGCTGTAATTCTAAATATTTTAGAAGCAATATTTATTATATTTTTTGACATGACAATAATGTCATATTTTGTTTTCAGTTCATTAAAAACGTACCTATCTTTTAAAACATTATATTTTGTACTTTTTTAATCTATTTGCAGTCACTATTTTCACATTTAAAATAACCCAATGCAATCCGTTTACGTACGCTACTGGTGAAGATTCTAATATGAGCGAGAAAGCCTGCATTAGAAAAAGAAACAATGAATTTATTAGAGCGACATCAACATTGTATAGATTTATACAGGGGTAGCCTGTCTGTACATATATATTATCTAAGGTTTGTAATGCCTAATTGACAGCAATGGCGCGATGTTCTCAAAATGTCACACGTCAAATGTTAGTCGTTAAAAGCACGTTTTCGGCATCCATAGGAGCGTTTTAAAGTGTATTTTTTCAATAAATTTGCATTACGAAATCGATATATTTAAAGTGTCTTCTTAAAATTGAAGCCTCCTTTAAACTAATCATTATGAAATTTGCCCTTATGATTTCTAGGAATTAAATGGAATAATAATTTATTAAAGGAATAAATATAAAATATAAATACAACCAAATTACAAGAATACATTATATCTAGTGGTTTCGAATGCCTGAAAGAGTGCAATGGGACACATTTCTTCTACGCCCATCTGCAGAGAACTATAGGTCTAATTCCTTTTTTATTCTGAAATAGAAGTCTATTTATAACGTTATAAAAACCGCCCAAACTATATTAGTATTACTAACTTGCTGTTTAACTAAATTTATTAATTAATTTTAAAGAAAACCGTTTTTACTTGAAAATCTTTTATATTGTCACAAAATTTATAAGTTGCTATATACTCGATATTTATAAAATATAAAAATAAGTTTTTCAAACTGATGAATATACAGGGTGTACGGAAATTGCGTACACATGAAGCTTTCACAAGTAATGTGCTCAAAATAAATCGATTTAACTAAAGTTACCTACATACCAACTTGATCGTTTGGCCGCTAGAGGTTAACTAAGTTAAATAAAACTGTTTTTTTTCTTCTTTAATCTCTAGAATTCAGATATTTTAAAAGATCAAACTTCGTACGAATAGTAGATGTTTTATAGCCCATTAAAGGCAGCAGGAACAATTTTTGTGGATTATTTTTTAGTTCTTTTGCAATACGATTATTGAAAAACAAAACATGTTAGTATAGTATATCAAAGACAATCAAAGACAATCAAAGACAATCAAAGACAATCAAAGACAATCAAAGACAATCAAAGACAATCAAAGACAATCAAAGACAATCAAAGACAATCAAAGACAATCAAAGACAATCAAAGACAATCAAAGACAATCAAAGACAATCAAAGACAATCAAAGACAATCAAAGACAATCAAAGACAATCAAAGACAATCAAAGACAATCAAAGACAATCAAAGACAATCAAAGACAATCAAAGACAATCAAAGACAATCAAAGACAATCAAAGACAATCAAAGACAATCAAAGACAATCAATGACAATCAATGACAATCAAAGACAATTAATGACAATCAAAGACAATTAATGACAATCAAAGACAATTAATGACAATCAAAGACAATCAAAGACAATTAATGACAATCAAAGACAATCAAAGATAATCAAAGATAATCAAAGACAAGAAAAGCAAAGACAATAAAAGACAGAAAATCAAAGACAATCAAAGACAGACAATCAAAGACAAGAAAATCAAAGACAATAAAATACAATAAAAGACAATAAAAGACAATAAAAGACAATAAAAGACAATAAAAGACAATAAAAGACAATAAAAGACAATAAAAGACAATAAAAGACAATAAAAGACAATAAAAGACAATAAAAGACAATAAAAGACAATAAAAGACAATAAAAGACAATAAAAGACAATAAAAGACAATAAAAGACAATAAAAGACAATAAAAGACAATAAAAGACAATAAAAGACAATAAAAGACAATAAAAGACAATAAAAGACAATAAAAGACAATAAAATACAATAAAAGACAATAAAAGACAATAAAAGACAATAAAAGACAATAAAAGACAATAAAAGACAATAAAAGACAATAAAAGACAATAAAAGACAATAAAAGACAATAAAAGACAATAAAAGACAATAAAAGACAATAAAAGACAATAAAAGACAATAAAAGACAATAAAAGACAATAAAAGGCAATAAAAGACAATAAAAGACAATGAAAGACAAAGAAAATCAAAGACAATCAAAGACAGGCAATCAAAGACAATTAAAAACAATCAAAGCAATATAACAGTAATATTATTATTTTAAAAGTTATTAAGTTAATGAACTATTTTTAATTTGTGGTTGCGTCCTGGTTACTGGCTCTTAACTATAAATAATTTATGATTTTATTTATTTTCAGAGTTCTGTCACCATTGAAATTTTTGACATAGATTACGTTAGTATCGAACCTGCAGCATTTAGCAAACTCTATAACAGCACGTTTAAGAACATCAATGCAATGAAACTCCACGAAAAAGCGTTTGATTTCAAAAACCAAGGAAACATTGCAAGACATGGTCCAGTCACTGTTGTAAGTATAATAATAATGGAAGTTAAAAAAAGAGAATTATCTTAAAATATTATCCACTAAAGAACTTTGTATTTAGTTGTTTTCAAAACTGTCACGATTTTATTTTTTTTTCTACGGTTCCACCAAATCAAACCCCCCTGAAATTATTTTCTGGCTACGTCCTTGCCATAACCGCATGTTTGTCGATTTGGTGATTGAGCTTTGTTAAGAAGTCCGCTTGGCGCTTTCATTGCGGGTGTTTTCGGCTGAAAATTAAAGAATAACCCCCTCTGACTTGTTCCAGATTAACAAATTTCTCATTAATAAACTTTCAATATATTTTTAAAGTTTTTGGAATTTTAGTTCTTTTAATAATCTCCAAAATGATATGAGCCATAAATATTTTCTACCTAGAATGGATATGAAATATATTCGTTCAGTTGAACGTAATGACATACTTTTTCGTTTTGTAGTCTGTGCGTAGATAAGCTAATATCCATGTGGGTGTAGAAAAAAATATTTTTAATTTTACGTATGTAATAATATATTACTAAAAAATGTATTAAACGTGTGTATCCAACATAAATTCAACCTAGCTCGTAAATTGGAAACTAAAAACCGAAAACTGGGCAATTTGCAACTTTAACACAAATACGATAATTATCGTACGTTTGACAACGCACCGTTCACACGATGCTTTATAATTTTAGGCGAGTGACATGCACGGCAAAGCTAAATTTAAGACAGTACGCCTCACCCCAATTCCCACAGTTAGTGAATTTGGATCCTAAAGGTTTGGTTATAGGGGAAACCTATATGAGTGAGGAGGGCAACTATTGTATTTTTTTTGTAATTAATAAATGTACTTACTTAGAACCAAAGATAGTAGATTGGTTATTGTATTCTTACCTGAAAAAAAAAAGGAATTAGTTGAATAGCCCTCTTAGAAGAATATAAAAGCAGTAAATATACTTTACTACTCATTTCAAAATTAGATGAGTAAAAATAACAAAAAAATGTATTAGGAGGATGCAAAAAAAGATTCCAAGACAAATAGTATGTATATTATTAGTAATCTAGCCTCTTTTATTCATAAATACTTTAAAAGAGTGCCTTCATAATCCCACTGGTATGATAGATCCAAATGAATCACTAATTCTCTAACTTACATCCATAATTCAATTTCATATTATTCAACCATACAATATTAAACCAATATTTTATATTTTCAGATAATTTTTGACAACGTCTCAATACCAAGAATACCTCGCGAAGTTTTCCTAAAATCATTGGCAAGCGTATCGTTTAAGAACTGCAAAATCGGCCACATAGAAAAAGATGCTTTCAAAGCGACTCAAATATCTTCGATCGTTATGATCGATTCTACCATTGACGACATCGAGGAGGAAGCCTTTGCAGAAAGAACTCTCATATGTGATTTTAAAATTAGCAAATGCAATATATCCAAACTTCAAACAAGATCCATTCTTGCTGCTATTGGAAATTTTTCTTTAACGCATTCAATGTAAGTATTTTTATGACAAACTTCTTGTTAAGTTTGTATCAACAATTGACTAAATATCCGAAGTTTGTTTTCACAAAGGTTGCATTTACAAAAACAAAAAATATTCAATTACACATAGATGAACACAGTTTTATTTGTCCAAATTGATTTGTTTGTAAAATTGGTGGAGTATTGAAAATAATATTTTCGCGGCACTGTAAACATGCTACACTACAGTATAAGTCACTTTTTCGACATCTACAAGCAGCCTTTTTAAAATTATTACAAAATAATAACATTTGTAATAGATTATCTCGAACTAGTAATTGATTGATTGTGATGAACATTGGATGGATTTAAAAAACCCAAAGACAGATCATTTATAGGACATATAGAGTATAAAGCAGTGGTCACCAACCTCTCAATGTGTTGAGCTACTTTGTTAATTTTGGAATAAACAGCGAGCTACCCACACGGAAGCCACGTAACGCAACGTAAATGAAATAATCCACAGTTAATTTATCATTATATGTATTTATTTTACTATTTAACTGGTAATACATAATACATAGGTACTAATAATAAACTAATATTACTAGTACGTACTTGTTCATAGCTACATTCCTACATACCAAACGAAGGTGTTTGAAAATTTTTCCACAACGGCATGTCACGTAAGATTTAAAAATAGTTAATAATAACAACAAAAAAGTAACGCACTATCATGAACATAAACATTGAAAAATAAAAAAGCACGTTCAATGAGAAGGCTGACACTCAGACTCATCGATAATTTTTTTAATTTTTGCAGTATAATTTGATACAGCCATTCGAATACAATTATCCAAATGTTCATCTGTAAGTCGATTGCGATATTTGTTCTTAATAAACTTCATATTGGAAAAAGAAGATTCACACAAATAGGTTGAATTGAATAATGCTTTCACTTTCAAGGCAACCCGGCATAAAACTGAATATTTGTCTTTACTTACAATAGGCCAGATACATTTGGTACTTGAGACTAACGATTTTAAGGCTAAATCATTTTGAAACTCAATTACTTCCATTTCTGTTGCAGCGATGTCTTCGCCAAAGTTCTGCATAACACAAGTTGCAAACTGTTGGATATCAATTTCCATAAAGGGTGAAACGACAAACTGCGCTACTAAAGCCATTTCGTTGAAATCCTTAAAACGATTTTTGAAGTTATTCTTCAGGGTAGAAATTATTTCTACATGATATTTGCTGTCATAGGGTTCTAATGGATTTTGAGATATTTTTTCTGAAAGAATAGGAAAATGCTTGGCATCGCTGTTAATTAGGTTTTGTTACCAAAACTCCAGCTTTTTGATAAATGCTTTTATATCAGAAATAATTTCCGCTAGTTCTTTATATCTCCCCTGAAGCTGCAAATTAAGTAAATTTAATTTCTCTGTAATGTCCACGAGAAAACCAAAATCTCTAAGCCAGATTGAATTTTCTAGTTCCGGAGTCGGTTCATCGCGTTGTTTGAAAAATTGAACTATGCCGATAGGACATCAATAAAACGTTTCAGCACCCATCCTCTACTTAACCATCGGACTTCAGAGTGAAGGAGTAGGTCCCCGTATTGACAGTCAACTTCATCGGCCAAGGTTTTGAATAATCTTCTTTGTAATATTCTAAGATCCCGCTGCAAAATCACTACGTTCATTAAGTTTTGAGTGAAACACAAATTTTTACATGATTTTATGAATAGGAGAATACACTGACAACACCGCAGCCAGTAAAAATGTGGCCGCAAGTAATTTTAATTAAATTAATGTTAATTAATATTCCAAAAAAAATTTCGTTTACTTCTCTTTAAAATAAAATATCATCCACATCATAACAATGCATGTAAAGAATTCTAAAATCCTTAAGTGCCGTTCCATACTCGGCCGCAACTACCTCGCAGCCAGGTGTAAGCAGGTAATATTTTGATATATCTATACGTTCGTGACTTACACGGATGTTTTTTATATCAAATTAAAGCTAATTTTTTTTCTAACACGATGATATATTGCTGCCTATGAAAAAATAGCCGCAAATTAGGAGTGCCATCAGTTAAAAACGCGAGATATCTGAGATAAAATAAGAGAGAGCGCGCAACGCCACTTGTTAGATGAGGATGGTGAATGCCAACTGTGTAAGTATTTGAAGCTATTGCACTGCGTCGACAGATGTGATTCGCAACATCAGTGCAGCTGAATTATTCTTTTATTATAACCACGTTTTGGAGCTCGTTATACACAACGCTGTCGATATTATTTATTTATTTAAACATTGAGACATTTAACATTTCAGAAAAATGAAGAAGTGTTTTTTATGTAGCAAAACTAATAATGTATTGGATTTCAATAATTCATCTTTCAAGAAGTATTATTCAATGTTAATGTTTCGCCGAAAGAAAAAAAAATATAAATATTTTGATGTAATTTTAACCATTGAATCTACTGGTGATTTTGGATACCATAGGGAATGTGTGAAAAAAATAACTGTGTTAAAATCAAAAGATAAGCAAGAATTTGAGGATTTAACAATAAGACATAACCAAAATTCTATACTCCATAAATACACTTTTTTCATTTTTACTTGATCAATAAACAATTTTTTACAATAAAATAAATCTCTCATTATTTTAAGTTTTTTTTTTTCCATAATATTCATTACGTAATTATAATTTTGGAGTAAATGTAGTCGTTCCTACTATTGTTTGAGCCGCCGGATGAGAACCCTATCTATCAACGCATGCGCAATAGCTTCAAATACTCACACAGTTGGCATTCACTATCCTCATCTAACAAGTGGCGTTGCGCACTAACTCTCTCTCATTTGATCTCAGATATCTCGCGTTTTTAACTGATGGCACTCCTAATTTGCGGCTATTTTTTCATAGGCAGCAATATATCATCATGTTAGAAAAAAAAATTAGCTTTAATTTGATATAAAAAACATCCGTGTAAGTCACGAACGTATATATAGATCAAAATATTAGCTGCTTACACCTGGCTGCGAGGTAGTTGCGGCCGAGTATGGAACGGCACTTAAGGATTTTAGAATTCTTTACATGCATTGTTATGATGTGGATGATATTTTATTTTAAAGAGAAGTAAACGAAATTTAATTAAAATTACTTGCGGCCACTTTTGACTGGCTGCGGTGTTATCAGTTATTCATAAAATCATGTAAAAATTTGTGTTTCACTCAAAACTTAATGAACGTAGTGATTTTGCAGCGGGATCTCGTACTATAACGCTTGAGCTCTAATCTTGTTCACAATTTTTACCACCAGTTTCATAACGTTGTTTAGTTTCAGGAAATTTCCACATAATGCTTGCTGATGGATAATGCAGTGGTAACAGAGAAATTGCGGAAAAGTTTCATCTTTACGACATAACGCCACCAGACCCTTATCGCAACCCACCATAGCTGGAGCGCCATCGGTAGTCAAGCCTACCATTTTCGATATTGGAATTTTCTTGGAAGAAATAATATTTTTTAAATGAGAAAACAACTCCTGTCCAGTAGTGTGTCCTTTCAGTGGAATAAACTTCAAAAGATCTTCTTTAATCGTAAAATCACTAAAAACCATCCTGACGAACACGGCCATCTGGGCAGTGTCAACGACATCTGTTGATTCATCCAGTTGAAGTGAAAAATAAACACAGTTATCTAAGTCAATTCTTAACTGTAAAAAAATATCATTGCTCATTACTTCTACACGTTTCATCACTGTATTAGCAGAAAGTTGCATAGATTTTATAGCAGAAACTATATCGTCTTTATTTCTAAAGTTGGAAAATAACGAATCAGCAGCTTCTAAAAACGCCTGTTTTATCATTTCCCCGTCTTCATAAGGTTTCTTTTTTTGTGCAATTATCTGGGACACACGGTACGATGCTTCAGTTGCAGCCTTATTTTTGTCGCCTGTTCTTAAAAATATTGATTGTTGTCCAATTAACTGCTTTTTTAACTGTTTCAGTTTCTCCTTTCTGGCGGCAAAATGTAGTAGGAATGATTTTTCAAAATTAGAATGTACAGTTTTATGATGTCTCTCAATATTTCCTTTTTTAGCAACGGAGACCGAAGTATTACATAACAAACACACATTTTTATCTTTAACTTCTGTAAAAAAGTATTGTTCTTCTCATTCCGAATGAAAGTGGTATGTCTTTACCTTCTTACAACTGCTTGCCATAATATTATTTTTTGTTGTTCTCTACTAACTCAACCGCTGGACGTTGGTTACGCGTTCAGTTTTAAACTAAGCTCAATGTCGCCGCGCCGTGCGTATTTATCCCGTTCAAAGCAATCCTGATCGTTCTCGAACACTAACGCGCTGGTCGGTTCTAGCCGATTCTAGCTTGATGGCGTCAGCGGCAGATCGCTCACCGCAACGTTGCCGCTGTTTATGTTTAATATTATGACAATTAGATTTTTTGTGGAATTTTCGGAAGCTTCTCTGATTTTTGCAGTTTGTATTTTTTAAATTAAAATCGTTGTGAGAGCTACCAGAATTGCCTCCGCGAGCACCGGTAGCTCGCGATCGACAGGTTGGCGACCACTGTTCTAAATGTTAACAGAAATCGGTCTTCAGTGTCACTCTGTTTCAGTTTACACTTCGCGACAAGTCAAAGCGTGAGTCAACCGTTCGCGCCGGCGTAGTTTGGTCTTTAAAAGGATCCGATACTAATATTGGTGAACTTGAAGTCATATCTAAAAAGCAGTTGAAATACTTTTAAAATGTCGCTCATCGTCTTCAGAAACGAAACAAAAATGAATATTACTCATTATCCATCAATTATTAAAAATCTTACACGTTGTAAATAATATTTTTCTGTTAATTAATACTTATTCTAACATAAATTATCTTTTTAGTGTTACAGATATCGAAACCAGTGCCATTAATGCTACCATCGCAAGAAGTGAATTAGTCAGCAACCAAATTGTCAACATCCACCCCTCAGGATTAGTATTTAATAATTGGAACATCATTTTAATGAACAACAACATCATCAAGCATATTTTTAATAAATTTATAATACCTTCTAAAGAAGCAGAAAACGAATTATTTTCGTTTAAGAGTAACGAAATTTATAGTATCGAAGAAGGAGCTTTTTTACCAATTTCGATGTTAGACCCGAAGATTTTAACGTACGACGATAATTTTTTTAACGTTACTTGCGATTGTTCAATCGACTTATGGTTAGCTAACGTTTCCAATAGCACTCCAATGAAAAAATTGATGAAAGATACAAGCTTTTGTACAGTTAGCACTTTAGTGTCCAAATGTTTTTCATTGCCTATAGGAATTATGAACATTCAGAATTTTACTCAACAAGCTTGTAAAAATTTTACAATCTGCGAACCGTATGAAGGAAAAACTAGAGTAGTAGATACTACAAGCAGAATATTTTTAGAAGAACACGATTCTTCTAAACAGAGTTGGATTATTTTAGTAATAACAATAGTAGGATTATTAATAACAGCCATAATTGCTACTTTTGTAATTTTGCTAGTACGCGGAAGTCGATGGTTAAAAGAAAAAGGTTATTTCAGAAATACTCATTACAACAGCAACGATCTGAGTATTGAAGAAGAAGGCACCGTCGTAACTGTAGATGAAAATGAAAAATTAGAAATGCCAGAAGAACTAACGATTGAATTCCTACAAATTCTCGCACATAGACTAGATAACCCTAGCACGCATCAAGAAGCTTCGGAAATGATTGAGAATCTTTACGAAATGTTCGTCGTCGATGAAGGATACGAAAATAACAACCGACAAGAAGAAGAAGCGCATCTTTATGAAGAACTCGGAAATTTGAATTTACATACACCTCCACCGCCGTACGAAGAAGAAAAGGATGCTGGTGCTAGAAATATACTACGATTAATGGAAGAAAAGGTTACTCAGCAAACGGAAGCGAATGTTAATGGAACACCAGCGCTAATTGGGGAATATTCGGAACCTACTGACGCAGCAGTACACCTTTATTCCGAATTAAAAAATAAAAGTGATAAATCTGATAAGAAGGAAAAAGAGGATGCTTCGAAATCAAATGAAAAATCGGATAATTCGGAAAATGAGTGGTTTGAACGTCCAGGTCCATCTACTGACTTATGAATGGGTGGTAATATTTTAAATGTGTGAATTTTATATTGTTTTTAAATAATGAACGAAAATTAAGACACAATAATAAACTCAAGAAAAACAGAATTTATAGAGGCCAATTTAATTTTAAAACAAAAACGGATGCCATGATAAAAGCACGAGACCGTACTTCGAGAGCTTTTTGTGAATATAAAAATTTGCAAAAACCTAGCTAGACTTAGTTTAATTGGTAAAAATCGCAACTCAATGGACATATTATGTCAAGATTAGGAAAAAATGTTTTTTATAGTAACAAACATTTCCTAGCAGAAATAGTCTAGTTAACAAGTGCTTGTCATTCGATTCGGAATAGCGTATGGATTATTTAAAAAAAAATGTATAATAATACATTGTTTCCAACTATTATTACAATATGTAAATAATCCCAAAACTATGAAAATTGTATTCTACAATATTCTTAAAAATCACAACTTAAAATATGAACTTACAACTAAATATTCTTAAACTATTAAAGTACTCAATATTATGGTTATAGTTTCACAATTTAACCTAAAACATACATGAACATTCTTAACTAACATTATGAAGTATTAATCATTAAATCTTGCTGGTCTATGTACAACACGACCAGACTTTGTGGCATCCCTATCATTTATATCAACTTGATCTTTGTCCTTCTCTTTGTCAAGATTGTCCCTATCACTTTGTCCCTTAACGTTACAAATTTGACTGTTGTTACTTCTTTCACTTTTGTCAACAACCTGTTCATCATTTACTACATTTTATTATTAGAATGTTTAAGAAGTGCCTTCATTTTCACTCTGCACTATCATTGACCTGGTGCTTGATGAGCACCCACTATTTTACCCTTCTTTCAGAAATCCTCTTTTCTTATTTTCAGTAATACATTGTCACATTTTCTAAAAACAGGCCCATTTTTTGTTGTCTTATCTAACTTTGTTTCTCAACTTTTTTGTCATACACATCAAATACTTTTGGTTTTAGTAATTCACTATCAACAGGTAATACAGTTCTTAGTAATCTACTATTTAAAATTTCCACATAAAGGCGTTGTTCTATATTCTAGTAGAAAATGGAACAATTCATTAGCATTTACACACTTTTGTAACATTTTTTTTTTATATTCCCTCGGTCTTTTCAGCTAGACCATTGCTTTTAGAATGTTATGTTTTGTTGGGAATGGGTTGTTAATACACTGCGACCTAAAAGATCTATTGTGTCCCCTTCTGTCGCCAATGCACCAAGGAAATGTCTCAATGCCTAAAACGACTCTTCCAATCCTATTTTCTCAAGGAAGTGTAGGATTGGAAGTGGCTTCAAGTTAGGTAAATCTCCCTCTTCTATTTGATATCGTCCTAGATATAGTGTCCTTGGATTCTGGAGTGCTACACATTCAATTAGGATGTGAATGGAGGTTTTGTCCTCCTCCTCGCAGAATCTGCACTCACTATCCTCTACTACTCTCAGTTTACTTAGGTGTCCTTTTAGTCGGCAATGCCCGGTAATAATCCCTGTTACAATACGTAGCCTGTTCTTGCTCAGGCAGATGCAGGCTCCCGATCTTTTCTGGTTATATTTACCCAGAAGTATCTTGGCCTGTCTCAGCCCCAAGAGATTGTTCCAATTATCGGTTCTTCTACTGCCCAATTATTTTTTAATCTCTCCTAATATTGTGTTACTGCTGATACCGCAGAACGGCTCAGGTCCTACAAACGGTGTTCGAGTCCCTTTCCTTGCAAGACTATCTGCAATCTCGTTACCCTGTACCCCGTTATGTCCCGGGACCCAAGTGAGAGCAACTCTATTTTTCTCGCCTAGCTCATTCAATTGTTCTAGGCATCTCCAGACCATTTTCGAGCCGATTACGTAAGAGTTCGGCGCTTTGATGGCTACTTGACTATCGGACATGATGACAATCTCTTGTCTATGATAGTTTCTCTTGATGTTAAACTTCTCGATGGCGTGAATTTCCACCTGGAAGATGCTTGGGTATTTTCCCAAGCTTTCGGAGTGCTTGGTTCTTGGCCCATACACTCCTATTCCAGTTTTTTCTATGTTTTTGGAACCGTCCGTATACCACTGAATAGCACGTCTTTCGGTTGCAAGCGCGATGGATTCTTGGCTCCATTCTTTCTTGCAGTCCAGCTCTGTGGTTTTGAAGCTTTTCACAAAACTGTACTTCTTTAGCATTTCATCCTGGGGAATGTCCCAGGTATCTTTAGTCCTGAAGCAAGTGAATTTTCGTCTGATTACTCCGTTCCTGATCATGCTATATCGTGTCCTTTTTGCCACATTCTCTGTCATCAAATGTAGAGGGGTGAGGTTTAAGATCACCTCCATTGCGGCCGTAGGACAGGTTCTCATTGCACCAGTAATGCAAACACAGGCTAGTGTTTGTACTTTTGAGATATTAGCTCTCGTAGTAGCTAAACTAGTTCTGTTACTCCAGGCTATAGCCCCATAAGTGACGATTAGTCTCACTATTCAGTATACATCCATCGCAGTATGTTTGGGTTACATCCCCATCGTTGCCTGCAGTGTTTCTGCATACCATTAAGGCTTTTGTGGCCTTATTTACTACTTCCTTCTCATGTGTATTCCAGAGAAGTTTGTTATCCAGGGTTAGGCCTATATATTTGACTTAATTTGCTTTTAGGATAGTTCGGTCTTGAAAATATACATTCTATATCATAATCGTTGCAGAATCGTCTAAACATTTTGCTATTATCTGACAAGCATTTTTGGTGCAGCCCAAAGACAGCAAAAATCATTTTCAGGTATTGCAAAATGTCTTGCATTGATTTACTTTTTAATTTATGTAACTCTATCCAATTGCTATAGAAATCAGCTGGTACTAGATATGACTGACCTCCATAATCTAATATATCTGATGCTACAACTTCAAAAGGAAGTTTAGGCATCTCATGTTGCAATCGGTATTCTCGGGTTGCAATAATGGCTCCTTAACATTATTTCTACTAAACTTCTCACATACTCTACAGTTTGCAACAAACCTCTCAATATCTACAGTCATACCTGGCCAATAGAACAACATTTTGGCCCTATTTTTATTTTTTTCGATACCCGCATGTGTTTTATGTAACTGCTGTAACATATGGTATCGCAACTCTTTGGAAATACAAATTCGATTATTATTAAAAATCATTCCATTCTTTAAAATTACCTCATCTTTGATTTTATAGTATTTTTGTATCTCTCCTTCCCCTGAATAGATTTGTCCCAAATATTTAACTTCTTTGACTTTATACTGTACTTTTGTTTCATTAAACTTAACATTAAACTGTCTAGCCCGTTGTAAACCCTTTGCCAATAACTCATCATGCTCCCTCTCACTCTTTGCCTGAATAATGATATCATCAAAATAAATTTGTACATCTATGCCTCCAAATATTTGCTCATTTGCACACTGAAAAACTTCAGGACTGCAAGCCAACCCGAAAGGCAACCTCTTGAAACAAAACTTCCCGAATGGAGTTATAAATGTACAAATTTTACTACTTTCTCTATTTAAATCAATGTGATAGAACATCCTTCATATATAGTACTGTGAAGATATTTTTTCCTTGTAATTTTAGCCCTATTTCGTCAGCAGTTGGAATAGGGTGTCTGTCTAAACAAATATTTTGGTTTAGATACATTGGATCAAGACAAAGTCACAGGTAGAACTTTTTGGTGGGAAATGTTCTCCTCTTTTTGAATCTTTTTTCGAATTTGGAAAATGTCAAACCGTTTTTGAGATATTTGCAAAAAACCAAACCCTATTTTTTTTCTTCAGTTAATTGTTTATAACTTTGCAATTTTTGCCAAGCGGCTCTTGAATTTTTTCAAAAATCATCTACATGCTGTTCCGAATCGAATGACATCTCGTTCATATTTTTCGGATGTTAACTAGACTAAGGGTGAGATTACAGAACGTCTGCAACTTTGCAGATCTGCAAATATGGCGGACTTACATGTGCATGTATCAAGTTTTCGTATTCCAAAAAAGTTTTGTAAAATTCGCAATATTTATTGTGGTTTGTTATCCCCAACAACACTAAACCCAAATCCATTACTATGTTTAAAAACTCGATAATCTGACATCATGGACTGTATTCAATCAAAAGAAACAGAAGACTTCATGGTTGTAGGATGTTATTCTAACCTTCTTAAGGGTGGATTTGGATTTAGTGTTGTTAGGGGTAATAAATATTGCGAATTTGTAGATATTTTTTGGATACCTGCATCTGTAAGTCCGCCATATTTGCAGATCTGCAAAGTTGCCTCCATATTTGCAGATCTGCAAAGTTACAGACGTTCTGTAATCTCACCTTAAAAATACTTGAGTATTTTTTAGAATATGCTCTTTTTTAAGATGGTAAACATGTTCGAAAAATAATTAACAAAAAAGATCGCTCGTTTTGTATAAATGTGTTATATAATAATCTTTCTCTATTTAAAATCGTGCCATATATTTTGATGCACGAAAAAAACAGACTAATCCTTAAACTGAGTGAGTGGACGAATAGAATTAAAATAATTTTATTATACATAGAAAATAAACATATTATTTTATTTTTATTTAAAATCGAAGAGTGTAATATAAGTTAAATTATATATTTGGGGTTACTGCTTTAAGAAGTGAATTTCCCAAAATATATTCTGATCCTGTCATTAAAGTTTATTTATTTTTATACCTCCATAATAAATATATTTTAATGATTATGTTGTGTAGTTTATTCCATTTTAGGAGCTATATTAGTATATACTAATTTGTATTTTATGTATATATGGATTATAAAAAATATTTCTTCCAGGTTTAGAATATATATCAAGCGTTACTTAAATTTATCTTTATAAGTTTTCCTTGATTAAATTACTAAATTTCGTATGATTTTTTTGCAAGGATTGTCTTGCCTTACTGTGATAATGTGTTGTATATTTTGTATTTTATCTTAATGTATGAGCTATATATAATTTTTTTTATTAAAATTTATTGATATAATATGAAGTTTTTTATTATTCCTATTCCTAATACTGTATCGGTTATCCCGTGGAGGATTTAGAAATTCAGTGGTTATTTTTAAAAAACATTCTGAAAAGGGTCACTGTTATTAATGTACCACATCATTTATCAACAGATTAGTATTCAAAATACATTTATTCAATACAAACTATTTTTGGGCAAGTTATTTTTGGACAACTAATTTTTGAATCATTTACTTAAAAAAATGTTAATTATAATCGAATTAAATTACGGGTTTTGAGCTTACATTAAATTGTAATTAGATGAAACAAAATGGATTCTATGTATTTTGAGGTGATCTTTTCGAAAAAAGGCAAAAGAAAATGTAACAGTTTTTCGAAAGTGCCGAAATTTTGGATTTTGTCAATTTTGCGCAGGCGCATGTCCGAAATAAATCAATATTTTTAAAACGTAGTTTACGACATTTCAAAGCTTAGGAAAAATGCTAATTTTTATGTCTCCTGAGAAATTTTGATCCGATGCACCGTTCTCGCGGTATGGACGATTGAAATTTGTTTAGTATTTTGAGGCGACGAAGGTCGAAAAATTGAATTTGTTAAATGTTCAAACACTAAATTCTTCGTAACATTGGTAAAAATTAAGATATTTGAAAAAACAAAAATGAGTTTTGAACTTAAGAGATGTGACTAGTCATTTCCAGAAGGGGGCAAGAGAAATCCCAAAATTGGGCATATGGCGGAAGGGCAAAGTGTACCGCGGTCCTAATTTCATTGTTTGCCTATAACGGCCAAACTATTAGAATTTTTTTAATGCCACTTACAAACCTTACTCTTAAATGTGAAATCTTATGTGTGTGTGAATTTCACCTACATCGGACCATAATTGGCTAAGATATAAAACAATTAAATAAATTTTTTTCCTTAAAAAAAATAATTTTTTTTTCTAAAGTTTGAAGTGGCACAAAAATGCCAAAAATGCACCCAATGGCTCAAAACTTTTTTTTTTGAGTACTCTATTGTGTCTATACATACGATTACGAATACGATTACATTACGGAAAATTCTGCAAATATATTTTATCTATTTTTTTGACCACTGTTCATTGAGTGACGACCAAAAAACACGGTTTTTGAGAAAAGTTGCCTAAAATTGACAATTTTTAGTTTTTTTGGTCTGAAAATTAAGCAAACTCAAATTTCATTTCTTCTAAATGTGTATACAAAGTTTAAAGTGTGTATGTTTCTTCTAAGTTGTAGAATTCTCCCGACAAAAGTCCCATTACACGCGCTCCGCGGGATCCAAAACTCGTGTATACACTACATTACTGTATTTTGATTTTTTTGCGATTTCCAGTTTTAAATTTCAAAATATAGAATTACCGCCAAATTAGCCGCTCGTCGCATCAAGGATAGTAATGGTCTCGGCTTTCGCTATCTGACAAGTTTAAACTTCAAACGGTCATATTTTTACAAATTGAATCGCTTGATAGTGTTCATCGGCATAGATTTTTAATAACCGTGTTCAGCAAGCTCTGTTTACACGTGGCTTTTCGAACTTCTTCAGCAATTTATTGATTAAATACGTTCCTAAATTAAGAAAATTCTATCACAGTGCTATAATTTTTTGTTTCCAGGTTGCAATGGCTGACCTGTGTTTATTATGTCATCAGACACTTGCAGAGGGTGAACTATTGCAGATTTGCAATGCGAACTATGACATTCGAAATATTACCGAAAACTACGCATTTTTTGTGCTTAGAAAATTGCTCGTAAAACGAGTGTTTTTTTCTTAAATCCAACATTTTCCCTTTTTTTTTTGAGAAAAAAACAAGCACACTGTCGATTTTTTCCGTAATTTGGGCACTTTACAGACTGAAAATATATTAGAATCAGTAAGTTTAATGAGAAACAAGCTTACTTTCTCTCCCAATTGCCAGAAAATTCGAGTAGCTTCAACTCTCGCGAGAATTACCGATCTTTGCACACGTGCGCTCAGAAAACAGTGCCACAGTTTTTCGTGTCTTCTGATGGAAACAGTATTCAGATAATTAGTTTTCGAGTTAATTAAGAAAAAAGTACGAGAAATTAAGAAAAAATTGATTTGCAATTTTTTTCAAAAAGTTCGGAACGTAACTAGAAAATACGTATTTTTGTCATGCATATATATCTTCTCCCATTTCAAGTTTTCTTGTAAATAACTAAAAACCAGATATTAGAGAACAAAAAGCAAGCTTATCACCAAGTTGGAACTTACACTCAGGCTTAGGATTAATTTCCTAACATTTTTAAAGTATACCTTTTTGTGTATTTTTTTGTGCTTTTTTCAATGGTGAAGTTAGATTTTTTAAATATATTTTTTTCGTTAGATGTTTTCCGAAAACCCGAAAAAAATCATATGGGAAAAAAATTAAGAAAAACTACGCCTTCCGGTTTCCTGCGAATTCCCGAAAAATTATGGCAGATTTCGCCGCGGGACTTATTTTATTTGAGAGCCAACAAAAAAATACGCAACTTCTCTCATGGGCACATATGTCTAACATTTATAAT